TAAAGAGCACGTGAAGGAGCACGAGGAGGAGGAAGGCAGTCACTGAGGACACCACTGAAGGGGCACCCGTCACCCCTGCAGCACGGGCTCAGTGACCTCTCCCTGCCCAAACCCCCCCAGTCCCTGCCACCTCCACAGGGAACAGCTCTGGGATGGGAGGAGGAACCCAGGAGAAGCCAGCGCCGGAGCCATCGGCTCTGCAGCCACATCAAGGGGAGCTGCTTCAAGCAGGGCAGGCGGAGGGGTCAGCAGGGACCCGGCTTTTCCGGCTCTCCCCCCCCATCCCCGGGCCAGCAAAGGCACCAGAGGCTCGTCCTTGAGAGCCTGCAGCGGCCTCGTGGTGCGGAGGGGCTGAGGCAGCAGAGCCAAAAAAGAGCAGGGAAGGAAAGAGCTTACAAATGGGTTTCGGATGTAAATGAGCATCTCCAAAGCCAAGCGCAGCAATGCCCTGATGCGGCCACAGGAGCCGCATCCTCTGCTCCCCGGCCAAGCCGGGCAGGGACACGAGGATGCGGTGCTGAGCACGCAGGCAGTGGGGCTGGCAGGGAGGGAGCCGCGGTGTGGGGCTCGCTGCGGGTGCTGGCAGCGCGGGGCTGATGCTGTTACGGGGGCCAAGCGCACCATGGGGGTACCGAGCTCCGAGCTCCCTGCGGGACACGGCTCCCGTTACCTGGCGTGGGTTCGGAGCTGTCCTCCCGGCTGCACCGCAGCAGCAGCAGCTCAGATCCTGTCCTGCAAGGGAGGGAGGAGGAGGAGGATTCGCTGCAGTCCCTGCCCTGGCTCCGGCTCAGCCCCGCGCTGCAGGGAGCGAGGCTGGAGCCTGCAGGGAACCGCAGCAGCCAGCGCGGAGCCGGGACCCATCCGGTGCTGCCCGAGCCCCGGCACCGCAGCGGGGTTCAACCACCCAAAGCAGGGCAGGGGAGGTGCTGCGAGGGCTGGAGCCAGGCTGGGAGAGCCGGGCTGGGTCAGCCTGGAGAAGAGAAGGCTCCTGAAGGGGAGACCTGAGAGCAGCTCCAGTGCCTGAAGGGGCTGCAGGAAAGCTGGAGAGGGGCTTGGGACAAGGGATGGAGGGACAGGCCAAGGGGAATGGCTTTAACCTGCCCGAGGGGAGACTGAGATGATTCCAAGCCCTGACCTGCCTCCTCCAGCCTGAGCTCAGGAGCCAGGGCTCCCCCCCTGCTCCCCACAGCAGCAGGACCAGCCCTGAACCCAGTGCCTGAGGAGAGGCCGAGCCCGGTTCAAACAGCACCAAAGCTGGGTGCTCAGCACCCCCTGACAGCCCCAGGATGCGACCAAAGGTGAATTCCCCTTTCACAAGCTCAGCAGGGTCCAGCGCTGGATTTGAGGAGGGCAAAGGAAGGGTTCAGGGGGTGCAGCTCCCGTCTCACCCCATCCCCTCCACATCCCCTTCGTGGTGCTTGAGCTGGGCAGGGGGGCGGATGGGGCAGGGCTCCTGCTCCGGAGGGTGAAGGATCCCCATTCCTGGCACTGGGGAGCAAACAGCCCCGATCCACCCCTACGGACAGGTCTGGCTGCGGAGCTGAGAGCACCGCACCCTTGCCAAACACAGGAGCCCATCTGCAGGCACGGCTCAGTGCCCGCGTTTGCTCCTGCAGCTCCTTCCCGGGAAGAGCCCATCCCGGCCCCGCTGATGTCCCACAGGACAGCACCGGGCAAAGCAGGATGCCAGGTGGGCAGCGAGGGCCCAGGGGAGACAAAAACCTCCTGAGCTCCCTGGGGTGGCTCCAGCTCTGTCCCATCTCCTCAGGAAACTTACCCGGAGCTGGGTCTGGAGTCAGGGAAGCAGAGACAGGTTGGACACAGGGGCTTGGAGCAAGTGCTCCAGGGGAAGGTGTCCCTGCCCGGGGCAGGGGTTGGAGCTGGAGGAGCTTTGGGGTCCCTTCCAACCCAGCTGAGGCTGGGACGCTGGGATTCCATGAACTCCTCCATCCTGGAAGGCCGGGATGCTGCTGAAGGGAGCCCTTCAGCTCCCAGCAAGACACCCACTGCCTGGGAAGGGATGCAGGGGGAGTGCTGCTGCCCCCCCAGAGGAAGGAGCCGTCCAAGCAAGCATCACGGGAGCACTCACACCGAGCCCCAGACACGCTGGCCCCTGGTTATGACACCAAGAGGTCTCCCCGTGGCCCCACCGACCCCTCTGCAGCCCCTGTGGCAAGCCAGGACAGGGTTCAGAGGCTGACAGCAAGCTCCGACCTCCCCACAGGTGGGTAAGGAGGATGCAAGAGCCAGCACCTAAGGAGCCTTGTGCTGAACCCGGTTCTGCCCTTGCTGGCAGCAGGGAGGCTCCATGGGGTATCCCGATGGATTCCCCGGTCCATCGGTGCTCAGCCCCACACCTCTCCCCGCAGCTGGCACCAGCCCCATCCTCACTCCCTAGGACAGTGTTTCCCTAAGGAGCAGCCTAACCCGAGCCAGCCTCAGGCTGTGAACCTCCTGCCGCATCCCAAGCTCTGCTCCCACCTCCCCATGGCCCCAAAGGGACCAGGGCTGCCCCATCCCTCCTCTGACCCCGCAGGCCCCCACTAGGCTGCGCTTACACCCCAGTGTCCCCGCATGGAAGACACCGCTCAGAGCCACGGAGCACCTCGAGCAGGGGATGGATGGATCCTCTTGGAAACCTGTTACTGCCCAGCCAGGAGGGTCCATCTCCCATCAACCAACCCCGCATGGCATGGCAAACCCATTGCCAGCCCCACTGCGGCCTCAGCAAGGTGCCAGAGCTGATCAACAGCTTGAGCAATCCAACATCACCGCATCCGGCCCTGCAGGTGGCAGAAGGACCCCGAGAGCACGGGGGAAAACATGGACACAGCTGGACATCCCATCGGTGAGTAACTGGGGAATGAAACCCTCGGAGAAGGCCCTGAGGCATCCTGTGGACCACAGCACCACGCAGGATCCCACTGCACAAAGCATCGTGCTCTGCAGAGCCAGGGTGGGTCTGAAGCAGCACAAGGCCAGAGATCACCTTAAGAGGGGACCAACACCTCCAGTGCCTCCCAAGCAACACAGGAAGGAGCAGGTTCTGGGGGTGCCGGATGCAGCATCAGCCCCGGTGACAGCACAGGGGATGCTGCGAGGGCTGGAGCAGCTCTGCTCTGGAGCCAGGCTGAGAGAGCTGGGCTGGGGCAGCCTGGAGAAGAGAAGGCTCCTGAAGGGGAGACCTGAGAGCAGCTCCAGTGCCTGAAGGGGCTGCAGGAAAGCTGGAGAGGGGCTTGGGACAAGGGATGTAGGGACAGGCCAAGGGGAATGGCCACGGTTCCACAGGGCTTGACCCAGGCAAGGACCAACACCTCCCGAAGCCCCAAAGCACCAGATCGCTCCTGACAAGAGCCATGAAGCAGCCCCAGGCACGGAACCAGGCTGAGCCTCTGCTCCTCCCAGCACCCATCGACGTGAGCCCCGCTGCGGCCGGAGGGGGCGAGCGCATCCCTGGGCAGTGCACGGCGCACGCAACACTTGGGAAGGAGGAGACACCGGTAACACCTCCTATGGGCAGAAGCCGCTTCACAGGCTCCTGGTCCCCGCTGGGGTTCCCCCGTTAAAGCCTCCATAGAGGAGGCAGCGAGCGCAGCGCATCAGAGCCTGTCCCCTGCTTCAGCAGCGCCCGGTCCCGACCCTCCCCACGGACCCGCAGGGGGGTTGAGGCCCCGGAGGAAGGGAAAGGAAGGGAAGGGAAGGGAAGGGAAGGGAAGGGAAGGGAAGGGAAGGGAAGGGAAGGGAAGGGAAGGGAAGGGAAGGGAAGGGAAGGGAAGGGAAGGGAAGGGAAGGGAAGGGAAGGGAAGGGAAGGGAAGGGAAGGGAAGGGAAGGGAAGGGAAGGGAAGGGAAGGGAAGGGAAGGGAAGGGAAGGGAAGGGAAGGGAAGGGAAGGGAAGGGAAGGGAAGGGAAGGGAAGGGAAGGGAAGGGAAGGGAAGGGAAGGGAAGGGAAGGGAAGGGAAGGGAAGGGAAGGGAAGGGAAGGGAAGGGAAGGGAAGGGAAGGGAAGGGAAGGGAAGGGAAGGGAAGCCCCCACCCCGGCCCGTACCTGCCCCTGCCGCCGCCGTCCGCTGCTACCGGCCCAGCGGAAGTGAGCGCGGGCCGCAGGAGCGCTTCCTGGGCGGGATGGATCGGGGTGGTGGGCGGGGCTAGAGGGTGAATGGGCGGAGCTACACCCCGAATATGGACAAAGTGGGCGTGGTTTCGCCTGATGTAGGCGTGGTTAAGGCGGGGGTGAGCGCGGTTATGGCGGATTTGGGCGTGGCTACGGCAGAAATGGCGCGCTCGTGGACGGGGCTTGCGCTGCGGTGGGCGGGGCTACGGCGGGACCCGGGGCGGGCCCGGGACGGGGTCACCCCCGTTACCACCTCCCCTCCGGCACCGGGGGGGGGCACCGGGACCGCGGCTCCTCCTGCGCGGCCGGCACCCCGCAACTGCGCCGAGACCCCCGATTGGCTCGGCCCGACGTACCTGGCTGGTGATTGGCTGGGTCCTATGTTGAGCGGCTCGGCTCTATGGGCCTGACTGCTGATTGGTTGAGCTCTATGGGCCTGGCTTGTGATTGGCTGAGCAGTAGGCACCTGTATCGCTACCTGCTGACTCGTCCGACCTTTTATGTGCCGATTAGCCTCGCGGGCCGTGGATGCTGATTGGCCAGCGGTCTATATGTGCTGACTGTCCACGCGTGCTGATTGGCCGGGCAGCCCTCGCTGAGCCCCCCCAAGTTCCACCCCCCGGTCAGTTTGGGGGAGCGGTGCGGTAACCTCCCCACATACCCCCCCCCCCCCCCGGAGCTGCCGGGACCCACGGGGGGCACCAATGGGGAGGAGTCTGGCGTGGAGCCCCCCAGGGCCCCCCGTTGTAGGGGACCCCCCTCTCCTTCGCCCCTCGGTGGGGCCGGGCTCTGCCCTGGGGGTCCCCGCGCACCCGCGGGGTTGCGGCGCTGGGCGGGGCCGCTCCCATCCCCATCCCCGGTGCCGGGGCGGAGCGGTGGCCCCGAGCGCTATAAAGGGGGCGGCAGCGGTGCCGGTGCCGCAGCGGTGCCGGGGCAGCCATGAGCCTGCTGTTGGAGCCGCTGCTGGGCCCCCCAGGGGGGCTCCGCAAGGAGCCGGGCCGCGGCCCCCTGCGCTCCGCCGCCTCCAGCGGGTTCCACTCGTGGCCGGGCTCGGTGGTGCTGGGGCGGGCTCGGGGCGCGCCGGGCGCTGGCGGCAGCGCGGCCGCTTCGTCCACGGAGAGCCTGGACTCGATGAACGGCGAACCGCGGGTGCGGAACGAGAAGGAGCTGCTGCAGGTGCTGAACGACCGCTTCGCGGGTTACATCGAGCGGGTGCGGGCGCTGGAGCAGCAGAACCGGGCGCTGGCGGCGGAAGCGGCGGCGCTGCGGCAGCAGCAGGCGGGGCGCTCGGCCATGGGCGAGCTGTACGCGCGGGAGCTGCGCGACATGCGGGGCACGGTGCTGCGGCTGGGCGCGGAGCAGGGGCAGCTGCGCCTGGAGCGGTCGCGCCTGGCCGAGGACGTGGCCGCGCTGCGGGGCCGGCTGGAGGAGGAGGCGCGGCAGCGAGCGGAGCTGGAGGCGGCGGCCCGCGGGCTCGCCCAGCTCTCGGCGCAGGAGGAGCGGGCGCGGGGCCCGCTGGAGGAGCGCGCCCGGGCGCTGCGGGAGGAGGCGGATCTGCTGCGGCGGCAGCACCGGGCCGAGGTGGGAGCGCTGCTGCGGGAAGCCCGCGTGGAGCCCCCCGCAGAGCTCCCCGCCGCCCTGCGCCCCGGCGTCACTGCCGCGCTCCGCGACCTGCGCGCCCAGCTGGAGGGCACGGCGGCGCGCAGCACCCTGCAGGCAGAGGAGTGGTTCCGCGGTGAGTGCCCGTGGTGTTTCCCCCCTCACCCCAGCCCCACAGCGTGCTTTTGGGGGGCTGGACCCCCCGTTAGGCTGCCCTTAGGGGTGCCCTACCGGTGCGGCCCTTTCCTCTGGAGGACGCCAGAGGGGTTGCAGTGCGCTGCAGTGCGGGGGGGATGCAGTGTCCTTGCTGCGCTGCAGGGTGGGGCACCGGGGCGGGCGCGGTTCAGCACCGTGGACAGCGGCCATTCAGCACCATGGACAGCGGCGCGGCGCACCCATGGGCGCGCTGGGGCAGCAGCAGGGGCTGTGGGGGGGGTGTGTGTGTGTGTGTGTCCCCCTCAATTCCCGTCCTCCGTATCCTTCAGATGGGGGGCTGTAGGACACTGCGGTAACACCCCCCCACCCCCTGCCTCACCGCAGGGCAATGGGTCCACCCGTGGCCGGGTGCGAGCAGTGGCACATGTACAGATCGCAGCAGGAACTGATGGGGGGCCCCTATAGATGTGCTGTTCTGCAGGGTTGGAGGTGCCTGCAGCCTCTCCTGTCCCCTTGCAGTGAGGCTGGACAAGCTCTCCGAGGTGGCCAAGGTGAACACGGACGCCATCCGCCTGGCACAGGAGGAGATCGGCGAGTACCAGCGCCAGCTCCAGTCCAAGACCACCGAGCTGGAAGCGCTCAAAGGGACCCAGGAGTCGCTGGAGAGGCAACGGCAGGACTCGGAGGAGCGCCATCATGCAGATGTCCTGTCCTACCAGGTAGAGCAGCAGCCTGGGTACCGGCCAGTGGAGAGGGACTTTCCAGCTGCTGGGGAGGAGCAGCTTTGAGGCTGCTGCTTTGGCATCCGAGCTCGTGAGGACATGTGGCAAACCCTCAGGGTTGTGTCTAGAGCCGGCCTCTTCCACTTCATCCTGGATGGAGCCATTCTCTTTCTTTGACCTGCCCATGCTGTTGGCCACAAATGGCTCTAGTCACATCTTGTGTCCCAGAGCTAGGATGCAAAGCCCAAAGGGGTGTGTGGGGTGGTGGCCATGGGCTGAAACACTGTCCCCATCAACCTCAGGCAGTGGTTTGGTGGCCACAGACTTGCCCAAATCCTAGAAACATTCCCACTCTCTGTCCCTGCCTTAGGCAGCCCTGGAAGGGGCTGGGGCCTCCACCAGGAATGGGACAGCCCCTGGACACATCCCTTTCCCTCTGCATCCACAGGGGGGCTGCAGCCCCTCGGTGAGGGCACCCTGATGCTGGGTGAACCTGGAGACCAGGGCACTGTTTAGGGGTGCTCTGTGACACCCTGCATGAGGGGACTGTGCCCTCCCCATGGCACCAATCTCTCTCCCTGCCCGCAGGAAACCATCCAGCAGCTTGACAGTGAGCTGAGGAACACCAAGTGGGAGATGGCAGCTCAGCTCCGGGAGTACCAGGATCTGCTCAACGTCAAAATGGCCCTGGACATCGAAATTGCTGCCTATAGGTAGGGGGTGGGCCCCTGGCACCGGTGTCCCTGCGGACACTCCTTGAGGGAGATGGAGCTGCAGGCCATGGCTGGCAGCTCGCGGGCATGGGATGAGGGGAGCAGCAATCACTGACTGCCCGACTCTGGTCTCATCCTGGCAGGAAGCTCCTGGAAGGGGAGGAATACCGGATGGAGTCTGGCTTTGGGATGCTGTCCTTCCCCGAGGTGGTCCCCAAGGCTCCCAGCATCGCTGCCAGCATCAAGGTGAAGAGCGAGGAGAAGATCAAGGTGGTGGAAAAATCCGAGAAGGAGACGGTGATTGTGGAGGAGCAGACGGAGGAAATCCAGGTGACTGAGGAGGTGACGGAGGAGGAGGAGGAGGCCGAGAAAGAGGCTGAAGAGAAGGAGGAGGAAGAGGAGGCAGCTGAAGCAGGGGGTGAAGAGGAGGCAAAGTCCCCTGAGAAACCAGAGTCCCCCTCAAAGGAGGAGCCCAAGAGCCCGGTGGCTGCCAAGTCCCCAGAGAAGCCCCCAAGTCCCTCAGAGGAGGCCAAGAGCCCAGCAGTGAAGTCCCCAGAGAAGCTTCCAACACCCACAAAAGAAGAAGCCAAGAGCCCAGCAGTGAAGTCCCCAGAGAAGCCCCCAAGCCCCTCAAAGGAGGAGCCCAAGCCCCCAGCAGTGAAGTCCCCAGAGAAGCCCCCAAGCCCCTCGAAGGAGGAGGCCAAGGCCCCAGCAGTGAAGTCCCCAGAGAAGCCTCCAAGCCCCTCGAAGGAGGAGGCCAAGGCCCCAGCAGTGAAGTCCCCAGAGAAGCCCCCAAGCCCCTCAAAGGAGGAGGCCAAGCCCCCAGCAGCCAAGTCCCCAGAGAAGCCCTCACCCCCCTTGAAAGAAGAGGCCAAGGCCCCAGCAGTGAAGTCCCCAGAGAAACCTGCAGCCCCCTCCAAAGAGGAGCCCAAGCCCCCAGCGGTGAAGTCCCCAGAGAAGCCCCCAACCCCTTCCAAGGAGGAGGCCAAGACCTTGACCGTGAAGTCCCCTGTGAAGGAGGAGGCCAAGTCCCCTGTGAAGGAGGAGGCCAAGTCCCCTGTGAAGGAAGCGGCCCCAGCCAAGGAGCCCACCCCGGCCGCTCCAAAGGAGCTGAAAGCCCCTGCGAAGGAGGAGCAGCCCAAGGAGACGAAGGCTTCCACCAAGCCTGGAGCTGAGGAAGCTCCCAAAAAGGATGCCCCAGCCAAGGAGGAGGAGAAGCCCAAGGAGAAGGCACCGGAGCCTGCAGCTCAGGAGGTGAAGGAGCCCACCAAGCCAGCCCCCAAACCTGCGCAGGAAGGGAAAGCAGAGGAGGCAGCTCCCCCAAAACCACAGCCCGAGCCCAGCAAAGCGGCTGCGAAGCCAAAAGCCGAGGAGAAGGCCGAGGAGCCAAAGAAGGAGAAGGCCGAGGAGTCAAAGAAGGAAAAGGCGGAGGAGCCAAAGAAGGAGAAGGCAGAGGAGCCAAGGAAGGAGAAGGCCGAGGAGCCAAAGAAGGAGAAGGCTGAGGAGCCAAAGAAGGAGAAGGCCGAGGAGCCAAAGAAGAAGGTGGAGGAGCCAAAGAAGAAGGTGGAGGAGCCAAAGAAGAAGGTGGAGGAGCCTAAAGCTAAACCCAAAGATGAGCCCAAAGCCAGTAAAGACCCTGCCAAGGCTGAGGTCCCCTCCAGCAAGGAGGGCAAAGCCCCAGAGCCGGCTGTGGGGAAGAAGTGAGCAGGGCCCCGGGCGCTGAGGAGCACCTCTGGGCACAGGAGCTGCTCTGCTCCTCACCAAGGGCTGGGCCAGCCTTGACCTTAGCACTATGTCCATGTGAGAGCCACAGCCCCTCGTGCCCTGCCCGAAGCTTCCCTAGCCCAGTGTGCCACGTTTAACACTTGAATATAACCCAGGAGAAGAGCCCCCAGCGCCCTTCTCCACCAAGTGCATTTATCTCATGTATGTGCAATGATGGATGAGTGCAATGCAGAGCTCAAGCTGCTTGGGAGGGGGCTGGTGGGGTCAATTGTACCTCTGAGCAGTGACCCGAGTGCAACCGGCTTTGGTGGGAGAGGCTGGGTGCTATGGGACCGCTCACTGACACCTATGGGGCACCAGGAACCCCAGCCCACTGTTGTTTGCTTCCTGTGCAATAACCAAATACAGTGCTTACAGAGATGCCCTGGCTCTGCTGGCTCCTCTCTGGGGGGAGGAGGAGGAGGAAGGGGTGGTGGGGGAAGGTGGGAAAGCCTGGTTGGGGTGCTGGGATGTGGCACACGCGGTTGGAGGCGGGCTTGGGGTGATCCCTGTGGCAAACCCAGCCCCTGCCAGGCAGAGCCTGTGTCTGGGCGGGCTGGAGCCAGGGTCAGCCCCTGCTCCCCACGAAGGACTGCAGTGGGGTTTGATCTTCCTTGTCTTTCCTAAAGCACAGCTTCAGGGGGCTGGAGGGGCCTGGGTTAATGCTGCAGGGGCTGAATGGAAGCAGGGAGAGGGGCTGGTGGCCTTCATGGGGGAGAAATTGCTTGCAGGGAAGAAGGGGAGAGGAGGGAGGGACAAGGACCTTGGGAATGGGGAGAGAGCCCCACCTCTGCCAGCCTGGCTGTGGGACTGGCCCCACCTCCCTGTCCCCATACAGGGGTGCAGGATCCCCACCAGCCCCTCACACAGTGCAGGGAGGCCCTGAAGCCCCTCTGCAGCGTCAGGGTTGTGCTGAGTCAGCAAGGAGCCAGCACAAGGACAGGCTGGGGCTGCAGTGCAGGCTCTGCAAAAGGGCTATTTTTAGCTATGTCAGTTTTTAGCTATCTCAGTTCCATGGTCCCAAGGCCCTGCAGCAGCAGGCAGGGAGGGAGGGAGGGCGGGCAGGAGGCAGGCACTGTGCCAGGCAAGGGGATGCATCAGCAGCACCAGAGACTGGGGCTTGCTGCAGCCCCTGTGGGTCCCTCAGGACAGACGAGGCCCCCACACGCTGCTTCCTTCACTGTTTAATCCCTTTGGCTACAAAACCCTTTAATGAAACTCAAAACCCTGGAGAAGAAACTGCCCAGGCTGGGACAGGGACCCTCAGCGATGGCTGAAGAACCCCTGGGGGTAGTTGAACTTGAAGGGCTTCAGGCGCAATGGTCCCCTGCAAGAGAAGAGGGAGAAGCTGAGCACAGCAGGCAGGGAGCCCACAGGCAGCTAAAGGAGAGGCTCCAGCTCAGGCAAGGCCATGCTCTAGGGGCCAGCAGTGCCACCATAGCCCTGCAAGGACCCAACCCATACCCAGGGTCCCTCCTGGCCCTGGGCTCTCACCTGACCAGGCGCAGACACATCTTCTCCTGGGGGAACTCCTTGGGCCCCTCCACGCTGGTGTCATGGGGCTCTGTCTCCAGGTACACATCCAGCACCATGCACAGCCGCTGCAGCTGGTTGGTGAGGAGCTGGTGGCCAGGTTTGGGACCCCACAGCTCCTTGTAGTTCACATTGACCTCGCTCTCCATGGCCTGGAAGAGGGAGCGATTGGGGCAGCGCCGGTTTGGGTCTGTGCTGCAGCCACCAGGTCTCCGGGGCCGGGCCTGGCCTGGCCATCAGCTCACCCCAATGGCTTCCGATGGACACAGAACTGCTGGGAACACCCCCAAAAGCATCCTCTCCCCACAGCCCCCGTTACCCGAATGTTGTCATCGTTGCTGCCCGTTCGCTCTCCTTTCCAGTTGAGGCAGAGGCTGAAGATGGGCGGCAGCGTGGAGTAACCGGGGTTCAGGACCACGGCTGCCTGGAGCTTGGCTGGGAAGGGCAGGGAAGAAACATCACCCATGGGGGCACCCACTGCGGGAGTCAGAAGTCTCCAGGGGAAGGAAAGCTCTTACCTGTTCCCCTTTCGATCAGGGCCATGTAGTAGAGGTGAGTGTCTTCAGCCAAGCCGGCCTCGATCACATCCTTAGTGTAGGGCAGCTCCTGGGAGGAGAGACGAGAGGAATAAGGAGGTGTTGGTACCGTGCAGGAGATGGAAGGGATAAAGGAACCCAGCCTCATGCTCGGCACCTACCGCGTAGTCCTCATAGGGGATGGCAGTCCACTTCACCAGGCGTGAGACAACCTTGGTTGGGAAGAGATGCTGGCACTCGCTGGAGACTGGCACCACACCGTGCTCTGGAACCAAGGACAAGGACCCATGAGCAGGGCAGGGCTGGGGACAAGGCTCTGCCACTGTCCTGCAGGGGGGATGCTCCAAACCCAGCACCTGAGGACACCGTTATCCTTCTGAGAGATGCCCAGATTGAAGCAGTGGAGACGTGGGTCACCTCCCACCACAGCCCAAATCCATTCCCAGTGCAGGGATGGCCAGTCCCAAAGGGGTGCTGGGGTCTGAGAGGGGGCACAGCTTTCCTCTCCCCCCCCCAACAGGGCAGTCCCCACCGCCCCTGCGGCCAGAAGGAACGGCTGGGAATGGAGGGTGGCACCATGCAAGGTGACACAAGTCAGGCCTCCTGTGCAGGAGGACCCTGCTGCCACAGCCCCTGTCCCCAGGGCACTCACCCAGCGATGCAAACTGCTTGTGGAGAGCCAGGCGGGACTGCAGCCTCGAGCGCAGCAGCTTCACCGTCAGCTCCATGTGGCTGGCGCTCAGCGTGTTGTCAGCAGTGACCGTGTGCTGCGGGCAGGAGGGGCTGTCACCATCACAGCAGCCTGTGTCCTCCACAGACACCCACCCAGGCACAGGGGCCAGCCCAAGTCACTGCTCGGTGCCTGTAACAGGGCTCAGACTGTCACACGTGGCAGGTAAGACGCACTGGGGTGGCACCGTTGCAGACTGATCCCAACTGAGCCCGCCCCATGGTTTGGGAGCAACAGGAGATGACAAGTGTCCCCAAACCCCAACTCGATGTTCCAGTGGGGAGGAGAAGGAGGTGTGATGTACCTGAGGCTGATCCTTGGGGAAGTGCAGCCCCCCCAGCTTCTGCACCCACACGTAGGGGTGCCCCAGCTCTGTCACGTAGTCGCTCAAGGTCAGGATGCTGTGGGGATAACAAGGAAGGGTTGTGCCACCCCCAGAGCACTCCCTGCCTGTGAGGCAGCTGGAGGGAGCACCCCAAGGTCCTGTGAGCCCACCCAGTGCCAGCTGGCAGGACACTGGCTTCCTGGCCAAGCTGGGTGAAGCTGCCCCCATTGTGTGGGGCAGCGCCCCGCTCACCCCACTTTGTCGAACTGGAACTGGTTGGCCGGGTTGGGCGTTTTCCTCCCGTGGTCTCCTGGGTAGAGGCAGTTGAGGATGGAGTCCGGGGAGAGCAGGTCACTGGTGGGAAGAGGGAAGAGAGGAGTCAGCAGCAGCCGGTGCTCCCTGTCCCGCTGGGGCGGCCCCTGACAGGCTCCGAGCGCAGCGAAGGGGATTATGAGCTCCATGAGGTGGGTTTCAGGACCATGAATGGCTTTTCCCTAATTTCACTCCAACAGGAGACCTGTCTCCTCCCTGGCTGTGAAACCACAGGGCACCAGCTCCCCGCTTCCCAGGAGGCTGCTCACTCCAGTGCATTAACTCCCACGGAACCCCCCTGATGCGCAAGGGGAAGCATCACCAGCACAGGCAGGGCCCAGCCTGATGCCTGTTTGCCACCCAACAAGCTCAAGCAGAGGAATTCTGCTTCACAAAATCAGATTCTTCAGCTCTGACTGCACTCACAAACCTGACCAAGCATAAAGGGCTGGAATCTGGGCCTTGGCTCAAGTCACAACCGCCCTGGCCAAGTGCTTCGAGGGAGGGAGCACCCTGCAGAGAGGCTCTAACTGCTGCCATGGGGAGCTGGGGTACCTAAAGGGGTAAGAGAACACCAAGAGGTTCTTTCTGGATGGGACAGGCTGGGAGGCAGCACTTGCTCCCAGGTACACCCAGACCAGTCTCTCCCACCTCCCTCTTCCTCAGGCACCTCCTCCTGGCCTGGGATTGCCCCTGGAGAGCTGGCAGCTCCCAGGGCAGGCTCCCACTGCAGCTATTCCTCACACAAATCAGGCTCCAGCGGGCTCCGGGGAGCACAGGGAGAGGCAGCTGCATCTCTGGTGCTCAAGACAAGGTGACCTGCAGAGTGAGCGGGGACTGGGAGCTGCCAGGCACAGGCTGCAGGAGGGAGGGGGGCAGTTGGGCTGCAAGAGCATGATAGAAGCAGGAGAGGCTCTCCCCAAGCTCCTGACAGGTCTGGCATCACTCCCCTAAGACATTCCCAAGCTCTCTGCCATTGGCTTGTGACAGAGGGAGAGGAGAAGGATGCTGCCTATGCTGCAGCAGCCTGACACGGCTCCTGGCAAGGCCCTGGAGCTAACGGGAAGGACAGCACAGGGCAGAGGATGTGCAAGGTGAAAAGCCTCCCTGGAGGCAGAGATGGAGCTGTGCTCTTTTGGGTCTCCTTTAGCCAGCAAAGGCCAAGCCAGGAGAGCATCCCCTTACCCGGCACTGATGGCGGTTGTCATCTCAACAGCAGTGGCCACCTTGGCTTTCACGGTCATGACGTTGAGGTTCATCAGGTAGTAGAAGGTCAGATGAAGCACGTTCTCATCTGCACCAACAGAGGAGGGTCGTTGTTGCTGTCTGCTCTAGCTTGGAGCTCTGCAGAGGGGATCTATGTGCCCCTCTGCTGGGACAGCAGGGAGTGGGGCAGCCAGGGTCCCACGCTGGCGCTGGGTGACTCCCTGGGTGCTGTCACCCATCCCTCACACCAGCCCTGCTTACCCTTGCACTTGAGGTCGACCGTGACAGACAAGGGGTGGCGCTTGAGCATCTCCTTGCGCTTGTCATCCAGCTGCACGCCCAGGGTGGGCCTGCGTCGCTTCTGGGGTGGAACAGAGCTCTCAGAGCCCCTCCTGCTCCTCAGTGCCCACCCTCCTCTCCCACTGCTCCTTCCCCCTGGCCTCCCTCCCCAGTCCCCAGCACTGCGGGCACTGAGCAGCCTGGGGAAGGAGGGAGGAGGAAACCCCCACCCTGCTGCAGGGTGAGGACA